AAAATTGATAAGTTGGGTCTTCATTTGTCTCACATAAATACTACAAGACGTAGCTTTATTCCAGGATGCGGGCGACCCTTTAATTGACATGCCTATTAGGAGGACAACTTGGTCAGCATCAAATTTCAGCTCTTTTCCACCCAGCTGAAACGTCGTTTGATCAATATTCCAACAGATAATTATATACATTGTCAGAATATGATCCTGTGGGTATGGAGGGAGTTCAAAAAATTGAACCAAACTCATGTTTTCCAACTTATTCCCTGTGCTTGTCGATAGTTGGTCGGACCTTATCCAAAGCTTCTCGTACTGCAGATGGATGACATCTGTAGTTCATTGATTTCATGCTCAAAAACCTACATTTAAGTACATTTAATTTTAATGTATGTTAAACTATGTAAAAAATAATGAAAGAAATTTAAAATCTTTTAAAAGTCAGTCTTAAAATTTATCATTTAGACTTAATATACCTCAAGAAATTAAAATTCACCATTAAACATTAACGAAAGCAAAATTTCAAATATACATAGAAATGACCTTGGGTTTCTTTATGGATTTGGTGTTCTCCATTTTCGTCATTTTGGAGCCACCTAAATCTTTCTTCTTGCGTCCACCCTTCGCCATTAACTTTGGCAGCTCGACCTCAAGCTTCTTGCCATCCTCGACGTCCGGCTTCTCCGCCTCATCAAAATGAGCAACATTCTTCTCTTCCAACGACGTGATACCTTTGCCGTTGTCCTCCATTTTCAGCAAAACCCTAAACAATAACAATACCTCAACGTAACGTCCGAGTGAATGCAAACCCTAGGCGCGAAAAAAAATAAGAATTCTTACTGTCCCTATATTTTTTACCACGGGTATTTGATCTTTGATCAGACGCGTTAAACGAAGGTTACATTCGCTACCTAGGTTATCACCAGGTTAAGCAAACGTTTCAATCATTACCGTGGCCACCGCAAAGTTACGCTTTACTTTCTCTCTCGGTTACAGCTCAATTATGCTGCTAGGTTACAACGCGCGGTATGAAGTCTCGGTTACAGCTTAGTTATAGCTCCTTTATATTGCTAGGTTACACGAAGCTGTGTTAGATCTCAGTTACGGTGACATTATAAGTGTGGTTCATTCATCTTGAGGTTACAGGAAGGTTACAACCTTGTTATTAGAGCGGTACAACGGTAATGTCCCACTCGGTCACACTGCCTGCACCGCTCGGTTATAACTCGGGTCGGGTCGACAGGTCGCATTTGAATAAAGGCGGTGGGACCGACATTGCTGATTTGTCAAGCGGTCATTGGACGACGCAGGGAGCGTGTTGACCTCATTTTTGGTTGAGGTCTAGAAAACTTCTTTAGTAGCCTAGGTCTAGCCATAGGACTTTCCTATTGACTAGTCTTAGAAAATTAG